CCAAACACTTATCTCAACTTGTATTGCGGTCACGCCCCAAGAACATTTCCCCATACTTGATTTTCTTGTTAATTTTTTCTATTTTTACTAAATGTGACAAAACCCCCAAATCGTTATTTGACACTTTTGTGTCACCCCCTTTAATTTACTATGTTTTTACTCGTTAATATCTTTATCTACAACTAGTTAAAGTTTAATTTTACTTTTCTATTAATTCTCAAAACCACTCCCTTGGGACACGACCCCAACCTTTAGTTGAGTTACTATACTATCGACGATCGTAGACACTCATACCGTAGGTTAGTGTTGTTGGTCACGATAAGCATCACATAACATGCCATTATTTATAAAAGCAAACTAAAGCATTTAAAACCTTGGGTTGCCTCCCAAGAAGCGCCTTACTTAACATCGTAGCACGACGCAGGTCCTTGCGCACTCTCTATTGGTCGGGTTGGTCCTAGTGTTACTAGGTAACCCCAATAGTTCATTTGAGTGAAGATGAGGCACTGCATAACTCATGAGTGTCCTGATCAGCCGGATCGATCTAGAATGGGAGCCAATCATTTGATTCAACACTTCAATATTCTCATTCATCTCTTTCAACATTCGATCTTGTTCGGTGATCTTTTGGAGAATTATTTGGAGTGTGTCCTCGACATGAGTGTTCTCCTTGTCTCTAGACTGTTTCCGCTTCTGAGGGGGTATGTACCTCCCTTGGCTCTTGCATTGGTTTTCCACCTCTGATATTTTGGTGGCCAACTCGTTTAGCTGAGTTACCAATGCGGTTAGCTTGAAGTCCCTCTTGACTTCTTGACTCGTCTCATACGAGCTACTACCATTTCTCTTAGCCATGCTCAGGGTATCTGTCTATATCAACAACTTCAAAGCAAAACAAAACTAAAAATAAAGTTAGTAAACTACGACTATCTATAGAAAAATTTGTCTTAACCAAAAATTTTCACGTAACACCACTCCCCGGCAGCGGTGCCGATTTGATATTTGCGTAATCAACACATAACTTCCAATGCAGGTATCTACGATCGTACAATAATATAGTAACCCAACCAAGGGTTAGGGTCGAGTCCCAATGGAGTGGTTCTTGAAAATTTATGGTTAATCGCGAAAGTGCTAAAAATAACCATAGCTAAAGACTTTATCGAATGAAGACATGTAAAATTAAAGGGTTTGACACAAGTGTCAATTATTAATGGGGGGTTTGTAAGCAAGTAAAGAGAAAAATCAGCAAAAATAAAAAGAGACATGAATGCGGAGACGAGATTCTTGGGATGTGATAGGAATACGGGTTAGACTAGACTATTGGGTACATGCTTTTGACAGTAAATCCGTTGAATATTTGTGACTAGGATAGACTATAGTGGGGGTAAATTCTCTCTTGAGCAACTTATCCCAAATCAAATGGGTTCCTCTCGAACACCCACTTGCCGCATGAAGAACAACCTCCGCCTTAGCCCACTCACTCTCTCGAGCTGAGTGTGTGGGAGAAGGTCTAGGGTTCACTCTCTTGAGTTGAACTTCATGTCGACCCACTCCCATCGGCCATTAATTTGGTAGTCTTAGTTTCACGACCTCTCTCTCGCAAGCCGAAAACACAAAGGTGAAATCGTATTTGCAACTACAATTTCATTAAGTTCCAACACAACTAGTAAACGAAATCACATCTAAAAAACAAATAAACTCTTAGCAAGCAAGACCCAACAATTAATCTAACTCATATTCACAAAATCACACCCCAAGAATTGGGGTTTTAGCTACACGTGTAAAAGAGGTAAAAATGTATACCAATCTCAGTTTCCATCGATGGGTATGCAAGATTAAGTCTTAAAACAGGTCAAAAGTGAAGAATCCACATGACCAGAGTCCAAAATCTTGGAGTTGAAACCCTTTGAATCTTCAAGTTCTTCAAAACCCTCTCCAAGCTTAGAGAGAATATTGTCTCTCAAAATTGTATTCCAAACTTAATACAACTAAAACATAATAATAATTTCTACTTTGATACTAAGGCACAAAACTTCAACTAGTATTTATAGTTTTCAGAAAATGTGCTACGAAGGATCACTCGGCGAAATCAGTCGGGATCACCGATCAACTCGGTGATCCGCCCTTTGGTCTAGTTCATCGCCGTCTTACGTTAGCCTTCAACATCATCGTATTTTGTATCATTGGGAGACATAGTACAACTTCACGGAACTGCTTGGCTATACATTGACTGGTCCTTTTCACCGCCGATTTGATCCTTTCCATCAAGGCTCAGCACACTGGAACAAAAGGCGAGGATAAGACCTTTTGGCGAATCACCGAACGGGTTCGGCAATTCTCATATCTTCATTTCTTCGGTCTTTCAGCTGCTTTTGTTCCTTTTTGCTAAGTAGTGTCCATGCTTTCCCTCAAACTACAAATACCTGAAACTTAAGGGTTTTCATCAGATATTGAGACAAAATATGCATTTGAGGACACTAATTCTATTAAAACATAGCCCTAAATGAGTCCAATTTGTGGTCTCATCAATGGTCAGTTTTTGGTTTGGCCAGTGGCTGTTCTTCAGCGGCAGATAGTGAAGCTGAACAGTCGAGCCAATGTGAAATTGCTCATACAATGGTCGAATCTACCTCCTGAAGATGCTACATGGGAAGATTATCATTTCATCAAGGCCAAGTTTCTTGATTTTGTTATTAACCCTTGATGACAAGGATGCTTTGCAGGGGAGGGAATTGTCATGATGTTGGTTTCCAATAAGTAGTTATAACTACTGGGTAGAAGCAACAACCCAAATTAGATGTAGATTAATGAGATTAGAGGGTGGAGATACAACCACGTCATCAGTGCCAAACCAGCACAAGTCACGTTGATTTAAATAACTCTGCAGAGGAAAGAGGGGCTTAATGGATAATTGGTATCTTTCACACTTTTTCTCTCTTCTCTCAGATCTCTCCTTTCTTCTTCTTCCTTCCTAATCCCACTTATTCTTCTTCTGCAGATGAAGGACTCATCTATGGAAGCTTCCAACTTTAGATTCATTTCCATTGTTTTAAGTTGTAATTCCTTCAGTTCACTTGATTAATAGAAAATTGTCCCAAAAACTTCTACTGTTTTATTAAATTTCTGTTCGATAATTGTTGAATTGAGGTCAGGTTTTGACAATTTACCCCTCTCTTGTCTGATTTGTAGTCCTAAAGAAAGTAGCACAAAAGTGAGTCATAGCAGTATGTTTGATTTCAAGGAGAGGAGAAAATATGGAAGAAAGGATAATTCAATTAATTGATTTCTTTTGAACTCGTGACATATTAATGAAAGGTTTTGAATTTTTGATTAAGAAATCATAAGTGCCATAAATCTATGTTTAATTGTATTAAATTGCACAACATCTAGATGTTTATCAATTCAAAATTTAACTATGAAAAAAAAGAGGTTATAAATTTTGCGATTATAAATCAGAGCTTGCTGGTTCTGTTCGCCGGAGCTGCTGGAGCAACGATGAAAGCGAAACGAATGCATGTTGGTCATGTTTTGCGGTGATCGAATGGTGCTGCCTTCGTGATTTCCCCGAAGCGAGAGAGGCCGAGTTTAGTAGCAGTTGGAGGTGATTTTATTGGAGGAGCTTCGCCGGAGAAGATAGAGTCGTGGTGGTGTGGTGAAGTTCCGACGTGTGTCTGGTTTGGTTGCTGTTGATTAGTGGAAAAGTGAAGAAAAGAAAATGGGGTTTATTTTGGGTTATAATTTGGGGTGGGTCCTTTAATTTTGGATTAAAATAAAATAAATTTTGAATAAACTTTTAAGATTGAGGCACGTGTCCGTTCGTTAATTCAAAGGGTATATACATTCAAAAAGTTAGACGGTAAGGATATCAATGTCCTAAAAAATATAACAAATTTACAATAGTTGAGGGTTATATTTATTCTTTTTGGGTAGTTTCTAAATAAGTAAATTATATTCAAAATAATTGAAAATTTTATGTCAGGATTCACACTAAACGTAGTTAATTCAACACACATACAATCATACTCCTAATCAAGTCAAATTGATTAAAATAGAGAAAGTGTGTTTTATATATATATATATATATATATATATATATATATACTAGATATTGAAAATTTTTAACTTCTCATATGTCTAGTTATATTTAGAATCTCTTTAAGGAAAACTTTGTATTTTTCACTGCTTTTATCCCCACCCCACAAAGAGAGAAACTTAATAAATACCACTTTCCCCCTCCTATAAGAAAGAACTATAGTTATTTACAATGAATTTTGATGCTTGTAATATATAGTTTGTGGCATAATCAAGTACTTGTCATTTTACGTACGTAAAAAGTTGTAGCGCGGCATGCTGCTGGTGGTCATGTCGTATAGTGCATGAAAATACACAAAACCAATTAAAGCAAATAAAAGAAAAGAAAGATTATCCTATGTACCAATACATAGTTGGATTAGTCCGAATTTAAAATTCTATCACAATTCATTTGATTTATTGAAATTGAGGTCAATTTTTCATACTCATTACTAATATTTTTCTTGTAACATGTAGAAATAGTACGAGCCAAATTAAAGCGATTGAATTCAGAATTTACCCTTTACGGCGTTACCTCTATGTTATATGTTAGTACTAGTATAGACGTAAGACAACATAAATATTTGATGTACAGCATATGATAGGGGTATATCAGAATTCAATAATTTTAGTTGTGAGCTCGAGTTTGTGTGGGAAATATAAAAAATTCATGAACTCCAAATCTTTGATTTGTGAACGTGTTCCCTCCATGTCACCACCTCATCTCTCTCTAGCTTCAAGAAATTAAAGTAGGAGAATCACTTCACTCCAACCTATAAAGAAAAACCAATCGCCCATAGCCCATGTGGTAAATCTAATACTCTCTACTTTTGCCTAATTCCTTCAAATTTCTCACTTTCTATGTCTTCTTGTAAAATAAAGTAAAAATAAATCCATAGTAAAAACTCTATACTTTTGTGTTTTCTTTTTCTTTTTCTTCTTCTTCTTACCCTAATAGAAATTTTAAATATATACATATGGATAGTAGTAGTGATAGAATTAGGATGTACAAGAGGTTATGGGGCTCAATTGTATTGTTAGGAGTTGTTTGGTTATTGTTGGTTAGTGTCTTGGAAAATAGAGGAACAAAGATGTTGAAGAAGCAAAGGCCAAATATTATTCATTCAAAGATGAAACTCAACTTCATGAGTATTAAAAGAAGAGTTCCTAATGGCCCTGACCCTATCCATAACAGGTATAACAATGTTTTAATTATATATGCCTTTAATTTAATTTAATTTAATTTAATTTATTTTTTTTGTTGTTGTAATTTTTCACTTCTAGAAACACGTGTATCCAATGAAATAGGTCAAAAATATTCCCATCGAAAATTATTATTATTGAACTTTCATCATGCTACTGTTGTCATTCTCACGTGGGCGTCTGTGGAAAATCAGCTTATTCTAGTAGTGATCATTTTTGTTACGTTCCTCCCGATTATTCTCTATTCCATAATTTAATGTTTTGGCTTATTCATTGAGAAAAAATTTTAATTCTATCAATTATAAATTATATTTAACTAAATTATTCTTATCATTTTCTTAAATGACTATATTCATGAAGGTAATTATGTCAACAAAATACTCTTTAACACCTAATGATTGTCTCAACAAATTAAAATGGACGTGAGCCAATTTAATTAAACAATTTTATATTTCAAGGTATAACTTTTCTCTCTTATTCCTTTGTACTAGCTTTGATTCTTTCTTCTTCTTTTCCTTCTCCTAGTTACATGTATTCCTTGAATTTATTTTTTTATATTAAATATTCAAATATTAAAAGAAAAGAAAAGGTCCACTTTCTATGTGCATTATTTTAATGGTGATAACTATTTCATTTAAAAATTTAAATAATTAAAAAAATCAAATAATATTATATTTTTATCTACTACATTTTATTTTCAAGATGTACTTTTATATGAGAGCCTGATTTTTTCTTAATGGATTAAGCACACAATGATTTTTTTAAAAATGATATTGTACTGGTTGTAGTGAGACTTTGTACGCAAACTCTCTTTTAATTGTGTGTTCATTTCATTTAAAATTTTCAAATCAAATAGTATATATTTTAATTAACTTAATTATATATTTCTAACATGTATGTCGTTTTTCACCAATTCCAAAATTCTTTTCTCATAGATCAAGCACATGTAAAAATACGTAATTATATATTTAACCATATTTATATATATATATATATATATATATATATATTAATTATAGTCATTATATATGTTTTCTCTAGAATAAAATTAATTACTTCATTCACTGTAGTCTAATTAAACTTATTTTTATGTTTCTCTATAACAGAAGAGCGGGAAATTCTCATCAACCACATGGTCAGGTTTCAAAAGGAGAATTTGGCAAGCCATGAATAAATAAATAAATAAATTAAATTTCCTATCTTGTATATGTAATTTATTGAAAATGGGATTGTCAATATATATTGTGAGAGATGAAATTTCAGTTAAACCCCAGCTTAATTTAATTTGTTAGTTATTTTTACTGCAAAAGTTGTTTAGAATCTTTGGAGGTGGAATGGAAAGATATTAATAATGAATTTGTCTAACACAAGGAAATTCTTATAAAAAAAAAGAAGAGATCAGTCATTATATTGGGTAGAGAATCCCAAATAAATTTCTCCCCCACCCCCACCCCCCCAAAAAAAACCAAGGGACAAAAATATTATATGGTGTTAGTATATGATTACGAATAAATTCAGAATTTGAAATTTATGTCTTATTTCTTTTTATATATGTCATATCATATATTGTAGATTTATGTATAGGTTTCGATCAAAATTACTTTGCTGTTAATATGTATCTAATGTTTTGGTGGGACAGATGGACAGACATAACTTTTGCATAGTGTGGAGGAAATTAAAAAGAAGAACAAACTATAAGCTTTTTTATGCATTGATTTATGTCCTAGTAAACATGAATTAATATAATTTTAGTGAACTTATTTAATTACAAATAAGCTTACACAAAACATAGTACTTTGAAATTTATAATTTAATCTGTCATAGTAATTACATTTAATGTCTAATTTTTTTTTAAAATTTAGAATCTTAAATTTGTTATAACATTATATTTGTGTGTGACTACAATAAGTTGTCATTAAGTGTAAAATAGATAGTTTAAGTTAAATTATTTTTAAATTTAGAAGAGAAAAAGGATAATTTTTCAGGGAGTATAGTAGAAGCTTTGGCTTGTGAAATAAAGGTAGTTTTATTCTCTAATTATTGGTTGTTTTGTTTATGAAATGGCATGTGTTCTGAAACAAAAGCAAATCCACCATTAAAAAGTGTTAAAAATGCAAAGGGAAAAGGTAGGGATTGCCTCTATGTGTTAGTCCTTTTCATAAGATTCTTGGTTTTGGTGACAACTTTTTTGGCCTTTTGTCCATTCAAACTTTGTTCTAAAATCAAGAAGAGTGATTCTCTATTTTCTAGCATGGAAATCCAAATCTTGAAAGAACTAAGTTTGGTGCAAAAATACTTGTAATTATAATTTAGAATAACATGCTATAATCAGTTAAATTATACTGATAGTATAAAAAATTGAGATGAACTCTAATTCATTTGATGTTGGCAAGAAGCAATTTCTTTAGTATCTAAGATATATATCAACATTATAAATATTTAAAATTTGGTGAATGAAATAGCAAGTTACTTAACTTTGCACTGAATTGTCAATTAATGCTTATCATATTTTATAGTAATTTATTATAAGAAGTAAATTTCTTTTTTACATCTCTAATACATAGAACTTAAACTCATATACACTTTAAGTTACATATTAAACTTAAATCCATTTTAGAAAGGAGAATTAAGGCTGGCAAGTTATCAAAATAAGGATGGTACTCTCTTGAAAGAAGTTCAAAGTGAAAGACAAAGTAGGCCCTGTATTATGCTTTTCCTAGCTTTATCCTTTATCATTTATTGGATTTAGAAGAAAATTAAAGACTTGGTCTAAAGTTTTGAAGATTCAAATAGGGATAATTTAATTGCCTAAAAGGAAAAAGAAAGAATCAGATGGGATATATCTACAATATTATAAGAGATATACATTGATATATGTATCTCTAAAATTTTGGCAAAATTTTTATATGAAAAAATTACACAACAAAGCATACATGTGCTACTTATTTATGGAATACAATTATAGTTTTAAGAATTACAATGAACCACTATATGTTTTTTTAACAGTAAATCTCATGTTTATACTTAACCTCCTAAAATGAAGTCAAATTTCATTCCCCCTCAACTCGACTCTCTCTCTCATCCTTCCCGCATCTCTCTACTTTTCTTTTTTTTTTTCAAAATAAAAAATTCTCCAAAAATCAATTTTCATTCTTAATTCGAATCTCCAAAAATTTCAGTGTAATGACCTCCAGGTCATTTTTATGTTTATGCCTCATGTTCGTCGTTCAGATCTTTCTTGTAACGACTCCAAGTCATGTAAGACTTGATGGGACTGACAGTTCGGTCACCTGGTCGTTCGTTTAGTTTTTATGCGAGTTTTAGTGTTTTGAGAGCTTTTGAACCTTGAACGGTCATTTTTATCAGAAGTTCAGGAAGACGGCCTCAGAATGCAATTCTAACGGTTTCATCAGCCTCAAAAGGGCCATTTTAGGCTAGGGGCATAGTTGGTTCGGGCCTCGAGACTTTTGGTGTGAGTTTGTGCCGTTAGGCGTTTTAACTTTGAAGCTTAAGTTAAGGGTTGACTTTGGTCAACATTCTTGGTAAACATGCTTGGATGAGAATTTCGTTAGCGCGGTTAGATCCGGAATGTCGAGCTTGGTCTAGAACAACCTTTCTTGTGGTTCCTTAGGCTTACAGTCTCATTTTGAGTCTTTTTGTGGTTTTTAGCTTAAAACGAAAATTGGGTGTGGGACCCAATTTTTATCAAAACAACCTCGAATGGAAGTTTTGATTGTTCCGTTGAGTCAGGAATGCTGAATTCGATGGGGTAGCATATTTTGTTTGCGCGCACGAGGTTTTGAACAAATCCCGGACATCCCATTGGAGAATTTGGAGTTTGAGCAAATCAATTGATATCTGGTGCAGACTTTTAGCGACCAGATATCACACTTTTAGCAACAAGTTTCAGGTATTTATACCCAGAAACTTCAACTTTCACCCTCAATACAAGGCGATTTCTACCTCATTCGAGATTGGATTTTGGTGATTCGAAGTCCCACATGATCTTAATTGTCGGGGTTACATGGTGGAGTGATTGGATTGTGTCGGTGACACTCCGTTTGAGGTAATTTTGGTGTAATAGTTGCTGCCCCTTTTCCTTTTATTTTTGTTTTGGTGGTGTTTCGTTGTTTCCATTGTTTTGGGCACGAATTATGTCCTATTTTGGGACACAAGTTCAAGATATAGCTTAGGACCTTTTGACAGATTCAATTTTAGAAATTCTGGTGCGGGTCCCACGATTCTCATTTGACTCTAAAAATTGGTTCGTCTCTATTTTGGGTGATTTCTGTGTCTAAACGACCGTATTGACGTTGAGATCCTTTTTTTGATCAGGTGACATCGTTCAGAAGGGAAAAGCTTTGACCTTGTGATTTGGAAAACGCGTAATCAATATACAGGTAGGCTACGACTTCCTTTCTAATTAAACTGAGCAGGAATGTGTAAATTTGTGATGAATATTATGAATAGGGGATGGGTACCTAGTTATTTATGCTTTTATTCTTAGAAACCATGATTTAGGGTTGATTACCACTGTTTCGAGGGTAGTACCATACTGAAAGAGGATTGTATGTGTTGTAGCATGCTATGTGATTTACTTGGTTGATTACTTGTTTTTGGAGCATGTTTTGGCCTTATTCTAGGATAGACTAGTGTTGCCTTAGAACTATGCACCTTTTGACTATGGTATGTCTCTAATGTTGTTTCATATGGACTAGTTCCTTGTAAATTGGAATAGAAGACTTGGGTTTGATTGAATGAGCCTAAGTTTAGGTGTTTACGTAGCTTGTTGGCCCTTTCTATCTCCTCTCCCTATTTCTATGGCTCTGATGCATTATTGGAGATTCTCTGCTTTCTCGGAATTGCAGTGCTACCGTCTTGGAGCCTTTTATGATATCATTGAGGGTGGACGTCGATCCATGGTGGCTTTGAGTCTACTTGAGATCCTATTTAGAGTTGATACGCCTTCGGACAGTCTTGCTAGGTGAGCAGCCGCCACCACTAGGAGTGAGATGGATGGGTAGCCTTGATATTTGATATCCTTGACGGAGTTGACATGCCTCCGAGGTACTCTTGCTAGTTGGGCGGTTAACACCCCTAGAAGTGAATTGTTTGGCTAGACAACCTAGGTTTCTTATCACTCTTGTTAGCTGGGCTGGAAGTTGACTGGCTAGGTTGATTGTCACTCTTGCTAGCTGGGTTGGGAGTTGATTGGCTCTTGGTTACTTGGGCTGGGAGCCCGACTGATGTTCTTGGATTCTGATCTAGATTATTCTTTTTTTGTAGACTTAGCTATTCTATGTACTTAGGCTAATGGGGCCAATTTGGGTTTATTTAAACTTATGCATGAGTTTACCTTCTGAGCTTATGGGGTCTTGTTAAGTTTAGTTTAGCTATACTTAAAATTACTTTCGGTACGCTCATGTGCTTCTTTTCATATCCGCTTTGACCTCTATTTTTTTCTAAATTCTATCTTTTTAGATTGTTTTAACCTTTCTTGCTTGGTCGGCCTATGATGCCTACTGAGTACATTTTTTTGGTACTTATGCTACAATCTGCATCATTTCGTGATGCAGGACCTAGTACCAACTACTAGTGGTGATTGTTCGTACCATCTTTTGTAGCTTGTAGATATTAGATATGAGAGTGAGCACTTGACGTACAGGACCAACCTGTCTACTTCTATACTTATGTTAACTTTTCTTTTGCCTTTGAAACAATTTGTTGTGGTCTAATTTTGGGACTTGTATTTATCTTATGAGGAAACTGTGTACTAATGACTTTCAAGTTTTGGGAGGATTCCTTTGAATGGAGTTTTCGGTTCACTTCCCATTTTTGTCTTTGCTTACTAATTAAAATTATTTTCTGTTTAGTTATGCCCTTGTACTCACTACTTCTTGTTCAGGGTATGAGTCGACTTACCTACTGGTGGGCTTTAGTAGGTCCCATCATGACTCGGGAAGTTGGGTCATGACAAATTAGTATCAGAGCTCTAGGTTCACCAGTCTTACTTGTACAAAGCTAATATCTACTAGAGTCCTACGAATTGGTGCGGACACGTCTGTGTCCTATCTTTGGGAGGCAACAAGGTGTTTTTAGGAACCCCCTTCTTTTTGTATCACTTTTGTGCAATGTGTGTTATTGGTTTTTTGGAATCTCACTTGTTTCACTTTTTTGTAGGATGACTCATACGTGGCGGCTAGGGTTAGGGGTTGACCTCCCTTCCCTAGTAGGGGTGCAACACTACCTCCAAATAGAGAGTAGGTCC